ATTTGTATAGAAATGGAGGCGATTATCTCCTTAATTCGAGCCATTTTGATGGATAACCCTAATGGAACTCTCTAGTTATTTCCGTTTTCTTACTTCCGCTCTATTTCTCTCAGGCGGGAAAAGTAACGTGACCCAGAATTCCGTGTTATAATGGCGGAGTATTTAATCGTTAGAATAACTTCCGGTCTGTTAATATTTACCTTAACGTACAATATATCAATGTAATTGATACGAACTTGACTTCCGGTTGGGATCTAGCGTCACGTCTGCCGTTAATCTCTATTTTAACGAGACAATCAACTCGAGATTTTAATTGGGGAAGTTTTCTTTCAATTGGTTATTGGATTATAGTATTTACAGAATATTGTAAATAAAAACAGTTGAGATTTAGAGGAAGATATTCTGATATTTCCTTCATTCAACTTTATCACCATGTAACAAATGACTGTCTCAAAATGTTTTTATAGGATATGATATCTTTTAGGTTCTATTTGGGGCTTTCAATCGGTCTCCTCTTTTTAAATCAAAGGTATATAATCCTGCTCTGAGTGTAGTGGTTGTTTCTAAAGTTTACAGAAACATGGAAGTGAAATTAATCATTTTGAAATGTCTTGAATAAAGCTGAAAAGCGGAACTAAAAACTTAGGCCTACATCCCACCAAAATATAGTTTGAACACGCATATTTTGGTCTTCACTTTGCTATATTTTTAGCAAGTATCTCCCACTTCCCAAGTTTAAGAAAGACGACCACTTTAAAGAAGTTATATCAAAGAGATTAATTATCTCAGTTTAAAGAGGGAAAGTATGTTGTAGAAATATTAATCTTTAAAAACATTGAAAACTTATTTAAAGAAGACATGATTCTTGTTCTAATATTGTTTTAATTTCGCTTTAATGACTCTTTGGTTTCATGCTAATGTTGATTTTTTATTTCATTATTAATTCTCGATTGATATATTTCATTATACTCCACGTTCGTTCATTAAAAATCGTTAATCTTAAGATAAAAGTTGTGTTTATTAGTCTTCAATTGATAAATTTAAAATCGATCAAGATCAGCATTATTTCAATTATAACACTTTATATTTCTTTCTTTATATTACTTTCTTTATGACGAATACATCAGGACATCTTAAAGGAAATGTCCCTCATACTTTTTTATATATCTCATGAATCCGTTGATTTTGTATTTAATTTCGGATATAATACGTCACTTCCGTGTTTTACTATACAATATTTTAGGTTTGATAACAAACAATGTATGAATCGAAGTTTATAAAGCAGTTCTAAGATACTCAAAACTATGATAAATATTTGTCGTAAGTGTAAAATTTTACTTTGAGAAGTGCCAACATGCCACAAATATACATCGTAAAGTTTTAGGACTGAGATAATGAAAACAACCGTGTAGTAGGCCCATTATGCGTGATATAATGTTAAGCAAGCTAGGCTATTCAATCCAAAGATCAAGTTTTGAAATAAACAATTTGTTTGAAGTAAATTTGTCTCAATATTCATTAATTACACTGAACTCTGGGTAATTATAGGATCTGTTTCCTGTCTGCGGACCTCTCACGTGTTTTAACAATCAAACTAAAGCGGGACAATTGACAGGTCACGTGTTAAGCTAATAGTCATGTGATATTAAAACGTCACGGACCATTTGCCGCCATATTAAGCAGAACGATTGACGGGAATTATTTTTACTGAATAATAAGAGTCTTTCTGACTTATTGATTTAGAATTATAGAATGGTAATTTACTGATCGTCAAACATTATCAAACTTGCTATACTATATATAGCCTGTCAAAGATTAAACCAGAACTGAATGAACGAG